GTTGAAAGTTCCAAACCCAAGGCCGCCGAGATGCAGATCGTAGGGCCACAACTGCAGGAGAACCCACATGACAGGGGTCAGAGGTCGTCTGCGGCTGGTAAGCTTTACAATGGTAGCCTGGTAGGAGATAAACTGCAAAGGCCCCATGCTTGTCTGGTTAAGTGGGGAGTGTCAACATGTCTGAAAAGATCAGCCATGATCTCACAGTTCCGTTGGGACCCGTCCATGGGAGGCATCACCATTGCATTGGGTGACAGGCAATTATGGATTCCATAGCTGGCAAGATAGACAGCACAGATTGTCACAGTTTTCCTGGTAAACATATCACACCTTCCTGCACATTTTGGTGGCCAAGGATTAGGTGGAAGTTTGGACCTATAAGAAGGTAGCGCACATCCCACATGAAGCTGACTCTCATAAACATTCTGTGACTTTAATGTTTGCCATTCATTGATGAGAAGAACCACAGTACAGCCTGACTCAATTTGTCTGAGTGAAGCTTGTTTCCCATTGACAGTCAGTTCAAACTGGCAAGAGGTCACGAATCTGGGTGTGTGCATCAAGTGAAACACGAGGGTATATTACCCATACCACAGGAAAAGTAGCATTTGGCAAAAGAAGCCATGTACGATCCCATATGCTTTGTGATCTTATCCATCTGCCGTGCAAGGCATCTTGGGCACCAGACAAAGAATGCACGCTCGCAACACTGAGAAAAGCATAACGAATTGAGGTAGGGAGATGACGACGTACCTCCAAACAGGAAGAACATCAGTGTGATAACCACAGATATCACATTTGCCACACTGACTGTAGAGACCAGTAAACTGAGAAGGGAACAGAGAGCACCGGTCACTATGCCCAATAGCATAAGGGTGGCGAGGAAAACCCCAAGCTTTCCATCTCCTGTATCCAGTCCCATCATGTTGTACACGATTCTGTTTTGACACAAGGCACATTCAGAAAGTTGCAGTGTAAGCCACACAACATCGAATGCGGAAATCACTACACGAACTCCACCCAGTTGATGGCTGTTCTTTCCAAACACGTATGCTGACTTGCAGCACCCATTCCTGCGATCCAGGTCCTATCCTGTTCTCCATGATTCAGATATTCGCAGAGTGAGATACGCAACAGTCTCTGCAAGACAGCACCCAGCCGATAGCAAAACTCATGGTCATTCTTTCCGACATTCATGTTGACCACGATATCTTTCTTATTGAACCCGAGCCACCATACCTTTCTTGTCGAGTCATGCCACGTTTCTCCCCCATTCTTTTTTTTTTTTTTTAACCATGCCCCTTCTATTCAGGGGGGGGCAACAGTCCGGTTGCTTATTACCGGCAAGCATGTTTTTCCATCCAAGAGATAAGGGGAGGAAAAGACAAGAGGGTCAGGCCATCCCTTGTGGCAGCAGCCGCCTAGCAAGGGGGGACTGTTACAGGGCTTCCCTTGCCCAGTCCATGGCCTTCCTTAGGGTGTTGCCCTGCTGGTCGGAAGGCTTGCTAGCAGCACCCAGTCACACAGCAGGGTAATCTCCAGGAGGGCAGGACGCAGGGGGACGGGGGGGGGGGTCCTTAACAGTTCCTCAGGCCGCATAACAGCTGTCTTTATCCTGTTACTACCTCATACAGTACCTCATCCATCCCGTATCACCATTCAACTATGCCCATAACCTCGCCTGTCCCACCTATCCCAGTTCAGACTATTTTCACCCCTGAATTGTCATACAACCTTCTTATCCAATTCTGCCAGTTACACCCATAACATCGTTTTCCTACTCACTGTAACTAGTCCCCAAACTAATTTCATTCCTCCTCACATCCTTCTTCACGTTGTGAATTCTACCCCTCATGATCTCGCTCTGTTCTACTCTGAACCCCATAACCTCGTTGAGCCCTTGTTGCCACCCTGTAATGTACTACTAATATTAAGTACTCCATAACTAACGCTCACCTTGCCCGAGGCCTTCGTATTTACATACTTTTTCAGTCATTTTATGATTTGGTTCCCCAATTATCTCCTCTTCCCCCCTGTAACCCCTCCTACCTACTTCTGTCTACCGCATGCTATCCCCTACCCTACCTTATTACAACACAACTATCTAGCTATACTACTTCTACCCCTTCCTTCCTCGCTTCCTAGCTCTTCTGAACTATAATACGGTATGGTTGCTTCTACCCCTTCCTTCCTCACTTCCTAGCTCTTCTTACATACTTTTTAGTCATTTTATGATTTGGTTCCCCAATTATCTCCTCTTTCCCCCTGTAACCCCTCCTACCCACCCCTATCTACCGCATGCTATCCCCTACCCTACCTTATTATAATACAACTATCGAGCTATACTACTTCTACCCCTTCCTTCCTCGCTTCCTAGCTCTTCTTAACTATAACATGATATGATTGCTCTGCACGACCGCCAAACTCGGTCTTCCAATTCATGAATGGGAGTCCTCTGCTGAAGCAGTCCCAGGCTCATGGCACAGTAGGATCGGGCCAAATTGCATGCGGCCCGTGCAGGGGGCCCGGGTAAGCAGCTCAGGATACAGACCCCATCTTGCCTAAAAGCCTGCCTCCTTCTTCACCCTGTGTGGCTGCACCGGTGCAGAACCGCCAGGAGAGTTATTCTAATGTTCTCCAGCACCCTCTCCTTATAGGCCCGTAGCAGAGGGGAAGTTCCCTGTCTACATTGCTCATTTCTCCAAGTCCACAGCACCCATAGTACTGCCGCGTGCAGGGTCTCTGCCGCCATCAAATCCTCTGGTTGTGCCCTATCCACTTTCATCAAGGCCCCCGAGAGGATAGCCGCATCATCTGTTTCGGTGACTTTCAGCGGGGTCTTATCTGCTAGCTCTTGTGCCACCATTCCCCAAATGCTCTGACAATCAGGCAACGCACAAACACATGGGGCACAGTTTCCACCTTCCCACACCCCGCCACGTATCCCTGGTCTTTGTGTTGATTCTTAGCCGCCAACCATTGTGCTGTGGGAATCGCCAAGTGTTTGCCACAGCAGCCTTGCTTGTTTCTGGTCCAGCAGCGTTGCAAGGATGGGGCATTGCACATTCCACCTTCAGTGGGTCCACCTATACATCCGGAAGCCAGTCCCTCTTAGCCCATCTATCTTTCAATTCTCCACAGATATCCACTTGCTCCAGCAGGGAGTTATATATGTTTTTTGTGGTAAGCTCCTGGAGCGGCACATCTTTCCCCTGCATTCCTTGTTCTGGCTATTCCCATTCCCTCGGGTCCCAATCCAAATTCATTCTTCTAGACTCTATTCGAAACTGCCGGTATTGACTCTCCCCTCCACATACCGCCACCGTTTCAACCATGTCCCTACGTATTCTTTTACAAGGAGCCTCCTCTGCTGCATCAACCTCCCGCAGCAGGTCCCCAAATCCCTTCTTCCAGTGTTTACCTCCCAGCTTGTGACCTGCAACCTCCCTTCTTCCAGAATCTGCTCCACCTTGTATACCCTCTGCGGCCTCTTTTCATCCTTATTTCTCACCAGAATCCCGGAGTAATGTTGTTCTTTCTCAGCATGCATATCCATCCAGGGGGGATGGCCTCCCTCAGTTCCTCCACCCTCCGCTGTCTCTTCATACAGCCATGCAGGGAGTGCATCAAGTCACTGTCCCGTTTCCGTTCCTTACGGTCCTCATCCCCTAGATGCCCCACCTTATAGATCCCTCGATCAGCCCACTTCCAACCGTACGCTCCTCATGGGCTCTGCCAAGGCAAGGGATCGTCGGCAGCATCGCAGATTAACCTGTTGTCGAACAGCAGCTGATTGTAGGCTGCATCTTGCGAGCGCGGCTCGCCAGCAGAGCAGAGTGGGCCTAAGCAGATTTGAACTACTGACTTTACACTTATCAGGCGTATACTCTAACCAACTGAGTTATAGGCCCATGCTTGGAAAGACTTGAACTCTCAACCCCCCAAATCCGTAGTTTGGTGCTCTATCCAATTGAGCTACAAGCACATTCATTCGTCCCTTTCGTCTAGGGGTATAGGACATCGCTTTTTCATGGCGAAGACACGGGTTCAAATCCCGTAAGGGATATATATGATATGATATCTATCATATCAAAGGGCCAGGTCAGGCGGGTCACACTACCGAAGCCTGTCAGTTGCATTAATTTAATTAACAAAAAACAAAACCACACATATGCCTACAATGAATCAATTAATTCGTCATGGTAGAGAATCAAAACGACATACGCAACGTACTCGAGCTTTAAATCAAGAACAGCAGCTGATTGTAGGCTGCATCCGCGGTTGGCGGCGTATGCAGTATTATGCACCTTCTTATGCAGCGCCAACTTTGTTGACCACACCGTCTCTCTCCGGATGTGGCGTATTGCCTTATCGTCCAGTAGGCACAAATCCACCTTACCCACCGGCACTTGAAGTGCATATGCCAGGTGGATCCGGGTGACTTCTTGCCAGGCTCCTCCCACTGTCCCGCGTTATTTAACCATAAGTGTGTGTAGGGATCGCTCTCCTAAGATATAGAAAGGTACGCTTGACCGGCATATAGACAGCACTTGCATACCATACAGTACCCGCCGGCACTTGAAGTACATATGCCAGGTGGATCCGGGTGACTTCTTGCCGGGATCCTCCCACTCTCCCGCGTTATTTAACCATAAGTGTGCGTGGATCGCTCTCCTAAGATATAGAAAGGTACGCTTGACCGGCATATGGACAGCACCTGCATACCATAGAGTAGCGAGCACCGAGTTTTTAACAATGATGGCTTTACCAAACACTCCCATACTCCCCCTCCTACTCCATGTTTTGAGTCGGGCCACCGCCACCATACCTCTTATCGCCATCTGTTCGACCCCTCCATAGCTCGGCACTATGCTAGCTCCTAGTAACCTCATTCTCTCTTCGTCCACTGCTGTCGGAATGTCCCAGCCTGCCAGCGGGGCTTCCCCAGCAGGAGGATGGCCTTCGATTTGCACCACTTGACCCCTGCCCCTGAGTACTTGCAAAACGTCTGCAAGTCCTCTTTCAGGATAATCAATTGCTCGGTCGTTGGGGGTATTACTGGCCCTGAGTCATCCGGAAATGCCGTGGACTGCAGCTCCACTGGGCCAGCCTTCATGCTGACTAATCGATCATCAGCCCTCAAAATGTCATGCGTTGATTCAATGTAGATGACATAGTGCAGGAGATGGCGGGCACCCTTGCCGCACCAATCTGGTGATCATAATTTTGTCGGATGTGACGCCGTAGACTTGCATTCCAGTTGCTGCTCCTGTCAGCACGGTTCTGACCCAGCCTCGGTAGATGCCTGCAATCCCTGTGTGTGCCATTTCTCGAGGTCGATCGATACAAAAGCTTGCACATGGCCTCCTCAAGAATCTGTTTTGCCAGGGCTACTGTTTTCTCCCCCATTCTTCATGGTCCTTTTCTTTTTTTTCCCTTTCTTCTACTTTCTTCCTCTCTTCTTCTTTAAAAAATAAAGAAAAAAAACTGAAAACAGGACCTTATGGTCCTGGCTCCATATCCATTCCAGGGCGCGTCAGTCCGCTCCTTTTTCACCAGCAAGTCAAAAGAGCACAACAATACACACACGCTTCCTTCCATTCGGCTGAAGGACCCCTGTACAGCATTGATTACTCCATTTTATGGAGGATTGACTGTCAGCTTGCCCTTGTATCCAAAGTCCTCTCAGCTGGGGTGTACCCCTGCTGTAGGATCTACACGGTCCTTTTCTTCAAGACTGGACATGGCGGAGACAAACAACCAACATCAGGCACGCCAATAGCAAACAGCACTGATGCAGAAATTGCCAATCTAATGTTCTAGTCGGACAACATCCGCTACACCAACAAACTTCCTCAAGTGTCACTTTGAGCTGCTCCATGATATGCCTTCACCTACTCCCTCATTGAAGATGTTTGTTCACGCAGTCAATTACCACCTCCACAAGAGCATTGAGGCCTTAACTGGAAGGAAACTACAGGGCTGGATGGCTCCTGTACATTCTTAGCTGTTCCAGGTTAGATCCGATCCCTCACTTTCTGATGAGCATCTTTGATAAAGCGGCTGTCAGGGACTTCCCGGTCACATCTTATTCCAGTGGCACCCCATGGCCGGGTATGTTCTCTGGACAACTGACCAGATTTGACTGATTCATAACGGTTTTGAGGACTCCCAGACTGTCGTAACAAGACTTACTTGCTTCATGCCAAGCAATGGGGCATCCTCCATCAACCCCAGCTCAGGGATTGACCAACAATGTGTGCTCTCGCCAACATCAGTGTCCTAAGCATGTAACACATCATTCTCAGTGATTACCATTCACGCTACCCCAAAGGCACCCTCATGCCAAGCAAGTGGGCATCTTCCATCAACTCTATCCATGCGATTGGAGGGCTCTTGTGAGTGCTGGCAGTTAGGAGATATGTCGCTTATTATTGTCGAGTATAGAATGATGGAAAACGTGATAAGGGGGAGTCAGGGGAGATGATGTAGGCGAAGTGAGGGAGAGAGAAGACGTTGGTCTCATTTTGTGTTTATCTCCTTCTTCTTTAATTGTTCATTCCTCTTCCTCCCTTGTCTCAATTCTTCTTCCAATCTCTATCCTCTGTGCTGCAATGTAATGGCATTGTCCCTTCGTGCCCTGGGAGCTAACCAGGATCATAACAAGAAAGAAAAAATGGGCCTTATGGTCCCGCATTGTTCATATTGGTGGGAGCACAATAAACATGCAAGGAATACGAGCGAGAGCGATATACAGAAAACCAAGTTGTAAAACCACGCAGACGTCCAGAGAGTCATGTAACAAGCAGAGAGCTCAAATGCACCAAGATTCCATCCAAATAAGAGCAAACTCGTGAGCCAATGTTCAAGCCCTCAGGCCACACCAACGCAGTATTCAATGTCGCTCCTCTTGTCTGGCACCCAGCGCCCACCCTACTCGACTCATCCTACCTATCCTACCTACGTTCTTGCAACAGGCTCACTTGACTTTGAAGACCGATGTACATGACATCAGCACCAATGCCGACCAGTCACATACATCAGATATGTACTCTCGTCTCCCTCATCATCCCCTGTCCACCCACATCTGCGCCTCCTCCTGAAGACCCCCATCGCCCTCCTCTGCCGTCGTGGCCTGCAGCCTGGTTATGGGCACTAGCGCCCCGCTGCCCAGCGGCGCCCATCACCTCTCAACGCCCACGTGCACCCCAGCCAGCAGATGCGCAATGCAGGCACTTGCATGCGAGCGGAGCAGCGTGTACTCATTGCCCGCCCAGGCCAGAATGGCCAGCACTGGCCAGCCTCATTCCCAAATTTGGGAGAGGTTGCTGCTGCTGGACTCTCTGGGCCTGGCCGTGGAACTTTCCCGTAGCTTCCGCTCGGGCCCCAGTGTCTGTGCCTAGGCCCACCCTTTTCAGTTGGGCACACCCAGAATTTTCCAGGCTTCAAATGTTTGCTGCATTTGCACCGGCCCACGGGGTAGATACGGCGACAATGCTGCCTTCTCGTTGGCCCGTGGGCACTTCGTGATGTGTTGGCCTCATGCTGCGTGTGCCCAGAGCGCAACTACCCACGTCCCAGGCTCAACTGCCTGACGCAGCTGATGCTTCTGGAAGAGCCCAGGGTGAGGCCGAGGTTGCACTTCAACCAACTGGCGTGCAGCAACTCTCTGAGACCCATATTGGAAAATGCTTCGATAAGTGCCTCTCGTGGATATTCAGGCCCGCCTTCACTTAGGGCGGGCACGAGGCTTGCTGGGCCACAGTCAAAACATATGCATGTTGTCTACAGGGCCCCTGAGGACACATTCCTCACAAACAGTTATTTGATACAAAATACGAGGGCACATGACAATTGAAGCAAACAAGGACCGGAAGCTACTCAATGAGATGGGAAACACGCTTTCTCAAGCAGCGTATGCCGTGGGATGCAAACATTAGATTGTACCGCAATCGAAAGGAAGCGACTCTCCCTCTCTCTCTCTCTCTCTCTCTCTCTCTCTCTCCAGAGGCTTGCTGGGGCCACAGTTGCACAGTTGGAACATATGCATGTTGTCTACAGGGCCCCTGAGGACAAATTCCTCAAACACAGTTATTTCATGAAAAAAATACGAGGGCATATGACAATCGAAGCAAAACATGGACCGGAAGCTAGTCAATGAGATGGGAAACACACTTTCTCAAGCAGCGGTTGCTGTAGGATGCGAACACTAGATTGTACCGCAATGGGAAGGAAGAGACTTGAATTGAGGTGGAATGGGTGAAAGCAACTTTCTCTCTCTCTCTCTCCCTTCTCCTCCCCCCCCCAAAAAAAAAACATGAGCATCAGCGCCGCCATGGGAACTTCGGAAAGAAAAAAGATTGAAAACAAAGGGGGCAAAGGGCAGCAGAAACAAACAGAGACCAGAAGCGAATCGATGGAAAAGGAAGATATTCAATTCCACCTGGGATTGGGCGAAGAGAGAGGGTGCAGATAGGTGGGATGGGCGTGAGCGAGTTGAGACAAGTAGTGCACTCCGATCTAACACCTTACATTTATTCTCAGGGTCTGCACATCAGAACTGCACACAGTTCGTGCAAGCCATTGAATTGCTTCCATGCTCATCCAGATGAGTGGAGAAATGCGCTAAAGAGCAGGATCCAGTCCCCATGGGAAACAACTTACAGGCCATAGAGCACTGAGGGCACAACTCGAAGTAGCACAGCGTCCACCATGATCTTAGCAAAGAAATATGAAAACGTCCTGTAGTAATAACTGCTTGCTTCCTGGATGAAGATCACTCGCTCCGTGATAAACAACTCGAGCGCACTCAGACTGGAACCATAGCCCAAACAAGAAAAAATAATGCCACAAAGTTCTCTGTTCAGCTCATCATAATGTGAAACTTTCAGACATCAACCCCCCTATGGTGGCAAACACAACCGTCAGCTGCATTCGCGTACAAGTCCATCCATACGCACACCTTGCACTCCATGCACATGGCATAAATCCCAGGGAACTTGTTTCTCAAACCCTTGCTTCAAGAATACATCACAGAACATCACCCATCATGACAGCCTCTGACCATATTCACCTGTCGGGGAGAAGAGACAGGCTGTACACTTAACCTGCCCCACTGGCAACATTTGTTTGTTTTCACTCTCCTTTTCAAACACCTACTACTACTGTTAGTTGTTTTAATTTTTTTTCTTACTTTGCAGGCCAATCGGGCATGTGGACATTGTAGTACTCGGTGTGTCCAGTGCATTCAAAAAAGGATGGAACTGAGCTATTATTTTCCTTATTGAAGCTTGTCTAGTTACATAGCATAGTTTAGTAGTGACGGGATATCAGCAGATCTTTGAAACCAAAGGACCAGAGTTGCATACCCGCTGAAAGGAGACCATTTTGAAGCATACCAGTTGGGCCAACCAGTGGGCGGTCTGCCGACCAGTCTGTAGAGAGCCGTCGTCTGACTCTTTTTCAAATCTGAGTTCCGGACTGTAC